TATATACATATATAAAGTAGTTTATACATATAATATTAAATATTGATTAAAGATAATTTTGTTGTTTTTATTCAAACCTATCAATTTGAGACTTCTCATTATTTCAAAATAAAAACGAAAAATTGCAATAGGTAAGAATATCATTCAAAAAATTCTCAAAAAAAAAAAAAGAAAAAAGAAAATTGCCGGCAAATCTATTATTGAAATTCGAATGTATCAGATAGCTAAAAAATATTAATGCAACAATCTAACAAATTTAAGAGTTGTGCATATTAAGCAACGCGATTGCATAACTCGTCCTTGCTCGATCTGAAATAAGATTGGCTTTCACTTTGCTCACAATCAGTTAATATCTCATAGTTGTCAGTTCATAGTGCGAAACGACTTGGACAGATAGATATAGTAGAATTCCTGTGTCTTAACAAGTTACTCCTTACTATGATACATTGTAAATTTCCATAGGACTTTTCCATGGAACTTTCCATACATTTTTTATATATAAATCGGTGCATAGACAAAGGTTTTTGTTATTGTTATAAAGTTAATAATTTATATCTAATTTGATAAATGTATGAAACAGAAAATAGCGGTAAACAAAACGAATATAAAAGTTCTTTATTCAAAATTTGCCATCATAAAAGTTAAATTATTATATGATACATTGTTACGACTTATAATAATTAAACACGTTTTTATATACATTAACTATATTAGTTTTTGATAAACAACAATAGGAAAAACAGCAGTTGAAACCAAGAATACTTAAAATCATGCCAGAAAAAAGTAAATTCAGTGCATCAAATAAAAATAATGTTTGTATGTATTTCATTAATTTTATTAATAGTGCTAAAAATATATGGATTATGCGAAATAATTTATCGCCATTGCACTTCAGTGATAGATTTGCCGTCAATTTTCCCTATTTTTCAATGAGAATTTTTGTATAATTCATTTATCGAAATTTTTCAAATTTTTATATTAAATCTCTATATACAATTTATAAAACCGTCAAAATAAATATACTTATTGTTCTTATCTATTTGCACCTTAAAACTTAATATATGCAAAAAGCTGTCTACTTCCCTTATAGATTTAAAACAAAAACTTTTATTACGGATATTTCTGTTAAGGAAAAAGATCGCTTTTTAGTTCTGCAAAAAACTGTCATTGAAATTTAACAAATTTAATGTAACAGCAAGATGTAATATATTATTAATTTGTATTCAAGTTTTTTATTCAACATTACCTTTTTTTATTCATCAGATGCAAAGGCCGCTGAAGCTGCGCAGAGCGCATATTACGATCCTAATAGACCTCAATGCGCTTACGTTCCACCACCAGAATATTATGTAAGCAGCTTTTTATATTTTTTCAGATACACATATAAAATATATTTGTAGCGGCAATCAAACACATTTACAATTTTTATTTTTTTAAAAAAACACGTCTTATAAAAATTATTTTTTTTTAACGCACATAAATTATCTTTGCTCTATTCTTTTAATACACAAAGCAAAACATCTCTCATCTTATTCTACTACATTATAAATTTTATTGTAATTGTGTTTTATTCTTTATAACGCGAGAGATAATTTTATCAAAAATGTATAAAGTCAGAAAATATCGAAGTTTTGGTCATCGCTCTACTTATCTACTTATATTTACATTCATCAACAATGAAAGTATTTTTATTTTCCTAAATTAGGAAGATTTCGCACATACATACTATGCTACAAAACAGTATATGTATTGAAATTTCTCAATTTCGACATATGTAATAAATTTTTTTCGTCATTTCAGGAGAGTCCACCGGCTTATGCTAAGAAGTATCAGTGAATATATACATTGCATAAATTATATAGTGCAATCGATATGCATTCCACCTTAGACGAAAACTGCAAAATCGTATGTTGTCGCGTATTTAATATTTCAGATATTTGTGCATTATGTTTGTTATGCAACAATTCTTGAATCGAAACGCGTAGATTCAAGATGAAGGCTGAAAAGAAATGCTATCGTTTTTGTCGTTACAGCGCTATGCAATGTTAAAACACAGGCATTATTCTGTAAGATATTTGCAATAATATTAACGCGAGTATTTAAAATAATTTCTTATGTATATGTTATTCCTTGAAAACAATTGTATTGTTATATTTCACGCGAGTCTATATAATTACAAAATAAATGTTTACACGCATGTAAATATGTAAACTATTTGTACAATTGTGTATTCGTTATGAACACATGTATCTCTTTCCAAAATCTTTCCTTTATTAAAAATTACAAAAATGTATGATATTGACAACATGACGCTACAAATATTGTAGTCGAATATAAAAACGAAGATCAATATCGATCTTCGGAGAAATATATTTTTATACAAAATTATTTCTTCCATATTAATTAGAGAGAAAAAGAAGGAGAGCTGATTTATTTACAATAGATAGTTTATTACAAAGCTATATTATTATTTTTGGACTTTTTCGATGTAGCTAATCATTTAAAATGTATTCAAATATCTCTTTCTCTTCAATACAATATTATTTTACTTATTCGAATGACCGAAAAATGGCAAAAAATTGCAGCATTAAATAAAGAAATGCTGGGTACGAGATGCGATATTAATATATCGTATTCAATCTCTATATCTGCGAAATGATAAAAAAAAAAAATAACTGCTTAGAGTCCTATCCAAGCAGCTTGTACATTATATATAAATATACATATGGTCTAAAAATAATGGACGTGTAAAATCGTTTCCTCCAAGTCTACCCATACTCGGAAGTGATTGTCAGACTAAGATTTCCATTTTCAATGCGAGTACTGTGATACCAAATCCTCGTATCCAACAATACAACGTCCGCCGCGTCGACGGTAAATTGAAAAGATGTGCATTCGCTGTCGCATTCCGGCGTCGGAGCCACGCTCCAAGTTTTACTACCTATTATCTGGGCTTGCCACATGAGTCTCGATATATAATCCAGCTGAAAAAGAAAGAAAGAAAGAATTGGAAATATTTATAAGCGTGTAATGCAATTTCAAGAGAGTTTGTCTCTTCGAATAAAAAACTCACGTGCATGACGGCACCCTCCTCGTAACCCATGAAGATATAGTTGCTGCACGGAATTTCCGCGTCGTCCGGCAGGAAATGAGGTACGCTGTAAAACCGCTTCATGGCATCCAAGATTCGCGGATGACAGTTTTTCCAGCCGACGTACCAGGGATCTTCGCCCTCCCGATGCAGCGCTCGCGCTTCGCTCATTGCGAACACCTCGCGAAGATTTGCGAAGTCGCTCTTGAAACGCAGGAACTGGCACTCCTCCTCCACCGATTCGTACGCGCCCTCGACACGATCGTATAAATTCCGAAAGAATTCCAAGGTGTACGTGTCACGCGCGGGCCAGTTGCGGGCCGCATCCTTTATTATCATAGGCCGAGACGAATAAGAATAAGAGCGAAATTCTTCCTTGGTCAAGTTGGGTAGAATTAATGGTGCTTTAACGTCGCGGCAATAATCGCAATTCGATATCGATCTCGTGAATTCCCATACGAGATAATTATTCGGCAGCAGGCATCGAGTTTCTTGAAATGTCTTAATTATATTCGTATTAAGACATCTATTAAATAAGCAGTATAGGAGGAGCACGAATAGCACCACCAATATTTTCTTCGTGAAGCTACAATTTTTCACACTTTTCGCATTGTCGATTGTCATAGTGATGGATTTTAAATCATTCATCGTGGCTCCATGTTGGATATAATTTTCAGTTAATTTAAAAAACATTTTTCGTACGAATTCTACGTTATTCTCTGTCACTGCCATCCTGTGTGTTATGGAAATTTAAATATAATCATACTCTTGATCGGCCTTTCGTTTCGTTTTTGTAAGGAGCTGTTCATAGCTTTAGCTTCATTTATATGACTTTTTAACAAGCTGAATATATTTCTTGTTTTTTTTTTTACTGTGAAATAAATTAAACTTTCGATATATTTCACTTTGCAGTTGTATTACTCATCGATATTTGTTATATAATTTCGATCGAGTTTCGATATTAATAGTAATATTACGATTAATATAGCCATTCTTTATACTGTTGACATTGCGTGTGTCTCTACTTACGCTTATCATTTCTTCCTGGGCGCAAATACGTATATTTGTATTGTACATGAATCATTGCTTTATTTAGAACTTGACGTGAACTGTCTATTTACATTGTACCAGAAGATTATGGAACTAAATTATAAGAATCTAAATTATAAGTTCAAGTTTCTCTCCGAATAATTGTTTTGCCGCGTTATTTGTCACGACACAGCGATTTTTATGCACGAAGACAGATCATGTGATTCATAAAACGCTACTCTAATAATAATAATAATAATAAAATATATATTATTATTTGATAATTTATGAATCACATGATCTCTGTTTTTATATATAAGAATCATTGTGTCGTGATATATACATACAGGGTGTTTTTAAAGTGACCATCTATTTTACAAAATAGGAATTATAAAAACACTTTTAAAACATAAAAAATATATACTTTATAAATCTAATTTAATTAGTTTCTACATGGCGATCATCAATGTCTCTATAGATCTCAAAGCGATCGACTGTTTCGCGGAACACACAAGCAACTGAACTTTTAAAATACATGAATTTAATAATGAATATACCACACATACATTATAAAATACCAACGTATAACATTTTTTTAAAATATCTCTAATTTCACCAAAATATAGATAGTCACTTTAGGAACACTCTATATATACATATATGCGAAGACAGAGATCATGTGATTCATAAAACACTGTCAAGTAATATATACGATATAATACAGTTCATATAGTTGAGCGCAACATTTTGCTCGACCTTGAGCTACATACGCGCGACTGCGAGAGGTGCAAAACTGCTCTATTGATTATACAGCAGAAGACTTTCATCACCCGGTTGGTGGGGATCTCTCCTTCCAACGACATTCACATCTGCTTTGCGAATGGAAGCTGCAGCTAAGTACTTTAACAAGACGTTTCCTGCGTAGCGTGTTCAACAGATGTGTTCTTCCATCTCTAGTAGAAAAATAGCTTGCACGCGCGTGGTGTGTGCCCCCGCGCACACATACAATACGCATACACACGTGCACGTTTAAAAACGTTTTTCATGTAAAGGAGAAGAATGTACAAAGTCATTTTATGCTAATTTTACAGTAGAGCATTTTTAAAGTTTGCGTACTTCTTTAAATAAATCCTGACAATGTTATATTGTTCTGAAGCACTTAAAATAATCTTAATTACAGTAATATAACTCATTTGATATGCAATTTTATTAGTAACTTAACATGTATAATTATAAAAAATCAAAAATTCTCTTGTATATTGGTGTGACTAAACATGTTCTTTCATTGTACGCGTATTCTTTCACTGCTTTTTTCTTCGACCTAATAAGCGGGTTCTTTACCTTTTGGAATAATCTAAAACTACTTTATCAGAACTACAACATCAATAGTGTTAGCCTGAAAAGACAAAAAATGGACTTGGTACGTTCTTCCCCTGGATCCTTCATGTAGCATCGACAAGATAATACATGCGGTTTAAAGTTATTCTGTTATTGTTATTATTATTTGCATTTAGTCGGGTCTAGAATTGTGATTAAAAAGATGGAAAACCATTAAAAAACAAAGTCTCAGAAGTATTTATTTTATCAAATCACACAACATAATGTACAAGTCCCATTCAAATCTTCGACTTATTCCGAAATAAATCTCTCTCTCTCTCTCTCTCTTCGACGCAAATCTTTCTTAGACAGTTATTAACTGTATATATGAATTACCGCAAATTTTGATTTTTATTTTCGAGCAATTATTCTCTTAAACAAACGGTTATAAAACCTAACTTACACAACATTAAAGAACATACGTAAGTTTTTCATATTTAGTTTTCACAGATCATGGCATAATAATGGATCCGATCTGATATTTTTTTTATACTTGTTACTTTTTGCTAGTAGGCCAATCATAAACTGTCTCTGAATAGAATTTTTAAATTTTATTATAAACGTGAAATATTCGTTGTTATTCTGTTGTAAAATTAATATGATAAACGAGATGTAAACTTTGTTAATCCATTTTTTTTTATTCACGAGGACTGCTTTGATCGATAATGAAATAATATGCGCTATAGCTTATATTATGAAAAAAAGAAATATATACAGGGTGTCCTAAATCCGCACTATCTGGCAGATTCATTGAAATCATTTGGAGATGAAAATCCTAATATCAAAATATCGAAATTATATTAATTCTTAAATGAAAAGCGTTTAAAGTTGGTCAATCGGATTATTCAACATTCGCATTTTTAGACACAGTAATAAAACTGTTGTTATGTTTGCATTAATGATAAAAGAGTTATGCAATTTCAGATTTTTAAATGATTGTTATCTCTGTAAAGAAAGACCCTTTCAGGACCCTTCGTTATATAATCTTTTTTTATTATTTTCGTATGCAGAACTCAGCCTCAAAATTTGTATAGATTTTTCTATTACACCCTGTATATACAGGGTGTATCGAAAATCGTGATACAAGCAAAGTGGAAATAATTCACTATGCAAAGTCATAAATGTAGAATGAAATTTTTGTATATAAGGCTTCGCTTTTTTGAGAAAATATGTGCACATCTTCGTTTTCGATTTTGAAAAAATCCATCAAGTATGCACTTGAATAACTTGAATAACTAGAGTCGGCTTATAATAGATCATATTACAATTATTTTTATTCATATTTATAAACAATTATTACATTATAACAGTTATTACATTGTTTACAAATATGAATAGAAATAATTGTGCATGAGATCAGTTGAATTGACTCTCGTTGTTAGTCAAGTGCTTATGTATTCGATAGATTTTAAGTTAAGTAGATTAAGTAGATTTTTTCGAAAACAAAGTTTTATATGAAAAAATTTTGTTCTATATTTTCAACTTGTATTTGTGTGAAAAATCATCTTTATTTCGCTTGTGTATATACCAAGACTTTTATATTACCCTGTATATAAAATCTTCAAAACTCAGAAAAAATGTGTGTGTATATATATATATATATATTGTTGCAAAAATGATAAAAAAAATAAAATTATTAAAGCTTAACATGTATCAAAAGTAGACCTCATACAGTCTTTGAATTGTGTAGAGGTATATACAAATATCATCATATTAAATTATTTGACACACACATGCACATACACACACAAACTGAGCGAGTTATATAAAAATAAATGAGCAATAAGAATTTAATCATAGGTTGCAAAAATAATAATTGATTAAAAGTTTATTTATAAATGTAGTATTATGATTTTATCTCTTTTGCTACAACATTCTCATAACAGAAAGCACTATAAAAATCTAATGGATCACATTTCTATGCAACTTTTCAACACAAATAATAGAAAAATATCGTTTCTTTTTATTTTACTTATAAATTTTGTAGAGAGTATGTGTTCAGAAAAATAATCGCGCACTTATTGGAGATGTATATGTATATATATACACATACAGAATACACACTCTTTGTAGCAAAAGAGTTAACTGGTCTATAAAATGGAATTTTGTGAAAATCTCTTATTGAATAAATAATATATCAGTATAAAATTAATATCTGTTTTACTCTAATTAATATTTTAGTCCAATTATAACTTTTGTATCATAATATCCACATCAAAATAACATTTTTATTTCAAGAAAGTTTTATCAATAGAATCTCACATACACACACATACACACATACTCATTATTTATTTTTACAAATTTTGAATAAAATTTGCAGATTTCAAAAAATCTATAGATACGACACTTTGATAAAATAAAAACAAAGAATTTAATCATATATTCAAAGACGCATATAATATTATCACAACACATTATTATGGAAGTTCCACTAATCACAGTTCTCGTGTAAAAGACTGTCTAACTTACATTCAGCTGTGTAGAAAATTCAGAGTACACTTAAATCTTGGCTATGAAAATATAAAACATTGGCATATATAGTATGATTACATCTTCTCTCCCAATAAATCAAGACTTACTGTCATCTAAATTATTTTCTTAGCGAGATAGACTATGTTTATTGGGTATTCTCGATGAATATAATGCAACTCAAAATAAATTATATTACTTACTGTTAAAAATGTGTGTGACTAGCTGACAGTTTTTGTGTCAATGGAACAGCAGTGTTTGTATCAATGTTTACACCTGGTTTAGTTTTGCTTTCACAGAAATTTAAATTTCCAGCAAATCAATCAGAAGTAACACCACTTGCCAAGAATAGCATCTTTAATAGCAGATATGTACTGTGCAGGGACCCAATATATCCAGTATCTTGACGCTTCCGTAGTGCCTAATTGTATTGCCTACAAATTTCAAAGATTATTAGATTAAGCTTTGAGACGATAAGATCATTAAATTTGCAGCATAATAGTAAACCTAATATAAGCTCAATATATGTACCATAATATGATACTCGGGATGATCATGAATAGGTTCACTGTGAACACCTTTTATTGAATTCATAGGTATTTTGTCTGTTCTTTCTTTTGTGCCGATCCAAAGTTGATCTTGCTCCAATTTAAATGTTAGTCTAACTTTTCCTCCAGATTTGTTTAACATTCCAGCTAATGGAAATTCTGGCAAAGGTTCCTATGTCATTAGTTGGCATCAGTTATAATAAGTTTCATCATATATGTAATAGACTTTATAGAAATTATACAACCTTGCTATCTAGTATTCCTGGCATCACATCCTCTGGAATACCTTTATCTAAGACTTTCCTATGCACTTTCTGTTGTGAAAGAGGTTCTTTGCTCACCGAAGAAACAGCTTCATCAATGAGATCTTGTTTTGTTGGAATTGACACAGCTAATACATCATCTAACTTGGATCCAACTATCATGACTTTGGCACCTTAGATATTATAAGGTAAGATTAAAGAACAATTTTAGATGACAAAAAATAAATATTTTGTACAATTCTAAGATATAGCTCAAAGATTACCTTTTGTTATTCCCAAATTCCTAAGAGTCTGATCATCTTTGGCTAATCCCTTAAACATAACTTTCTGCATTGCCTGTGGTACTGAGATAATTTTCTGCAAATGTGTTTTTAATTCGGCAACTGTACCGTCTAAAGCAAAATTCACGCTAATCTTTTGTTTGTTGTAAATCACTGTAAAATTTATATTCTCCGTGGGCGGTTCTTGCAAGGCAGTCGCTGTTGTATCCTGTGATTCGCTGATGTTGTTTTCCTGTTCTGTTGTAAGTTCCTTTGTATCTGTTTCCAAATTTTCCGTGGACTTTGGATTCGAGGCGAGCTCCGAACACGGGGATGAGTTGCAACAACTGTTATTGTCGTCGTTCTTTACTGTATCTGAAGAGATAAGAAATTTTTTAATATTGCAAATCTCTGTTTCGCAAGAACTCCTAATAGTAATTATTTTACAAATCGACTAATTTATATGAATCAGAATCGAAATTGTCGCAAACTTTTTTTTTTACGGGAACCATGGAAAGTTACATCGAAAAATTTTGAGTTGTGTCTGTTCTTGAAAAAGTATATATATATATTTCAGCGTTCAACCGCAAAAAAAGAACGTACATTGCTGCATCAGGAAATCGATAAATAATAATCTACAAATATTATACACTAAGAAACTTTCGATAAAAACAAGTTTAGAAAAGGAGGGAGAGGGAGAAAGAGAGAGAGAGAGAGAGAAAGAAACAGGTCATAAAATCATCTGACATACACAAACACACAATAATGCGTTTCGACGAAACATCGCCAAGCATCTAATCTGCTAGTTTTGTTTCTTACACGATTAGAAAGAAGGACGGTGAAAAAGAAGCTGAGGGATGAAAAATTTTTGAGAGAAAGCACATAAAAAATAAACAGGATTTAGCAACATACCAACGTACTCCATGTTGAACTCCGTGTTTCATTGGCCAATCAAAATTATCACAGAGAGCGTTGCTCATCGTGATATCTGTGACGTATGCTTTCCAGAATGACTTTCGAATTTTTGAATCCATATATTTCTCTTTACGCGATGAAACGTGGTATAAAATGTACCGAGAGAGAGAGAGAGAGAGAGAGAGAGAGAGAGATATTTTTATAAAGAAAAGATTTATATATAAGATTATATGACTTCTTAAATATCACATAAGTTTCAAAAATGATAATAATGGTTGCATTACAACTTACAACGCTAATGGGCTCAGAAAATGTTTGTCATATCTGTCAATTAAAATCATGCAATAACAAAATTACGCAATATCGATGTAATTTGATTAAAGCAGTTATCAATCTTTGCCTTTAATGTATGTAGGCTTGTGATTTATATATATTAATAATTTATTATATATTATTATAAACGTCATCCGCATCAGATTTAATAACATCCGTAGTTCTAAAACTGGCCAATCAGTAGTCGTACATACTACATAGGAACTATAGATTAAAAAATTAGAATTCGACTAATCAAAACGAAATAAACTAAAATTTCTTTATTCTGATTGGCCGTATTTCAATCTTCAATGTGTAGTCTGACGCGATTGGTTATCACATGTCGCCGCATGCGACACGTGACCTGCGTACAGTAAAAGCACGAGAAATATTTCACTAACCAAATTGATCTTTTACTTCGCGTGTTTCTGCCAGAGAAGGACGATGGTGAGTTCTGCGTTTCTTTACGATGTATCCATTTATTTCGTTGGGCATCGTATTATTCTATATGTGAGAGTATTTAAGAATCAAATCTTCAGACTCTGATTTCATTCCGTATGTATTTCAGTCGGCGCATAAGACATTTATCATCAAGCGGAAGCTTGCCAAAAAGCTGAAGCAGAACAGGCCGATTCCACAATGGGTGAGAATGCGTACTGGTAATACTATCCGGTAAGTGTAAGCTATTAATTACTTCGAAACTTTGTCATATCTTATCTGTATATATATAAATTGAAAGATTTTTTTTCACTAGATATTTAATTTGCACATTAATATCTCGAAATTGTATCTCTTATGATAATAGTATAATTGTATTTGAATCATGGAGATACATTTGTGAATAAATTAGAGATATGATTTTATAAAATTTTGGACCATTTTGTTTTCTTTGTTCGATGTTATCTTTGTATAGTTTGTATTGATTTTTCTCATTTGTCTTTGATGCGACCAAACTGTCAGCGTCATAATTTTGTTATGAATGCAATAATTTATTTAAAGCTATATTCTTTCTCTCTCTAATGTTGGATATTATAAAGACATTATTATATTATCAATTCTTGACTTTGACAAATATTAAAAATTTATAAGCTGTTTTTTTTCACATATAAATTTGTTTTCAGATACAATGCTAAGAGGCGTCACTGGAGGAGAACTAAATTGAAGTTGTAAAACCATGTAAACATACATAATGTTATTATTATAACAATGTAATGCATGATTTAATAATAAACATGCATATATATAAAATTTAAAAAAATTAAATATTTGTCGTAATCTTCAGCATCTACGACAGTGCAAACAAAAATAAACTGTTAAAGTATAAAACTGGTGTATATCTTTAATATATATATATAAAGTATAAAACTGGTGAATATTTTTAATATATATATATATTTGTATATTATTTTGTCACAAAACATTTACAAAGAGTTCGGTACTTTGCGCATATGCATCTGCTTTAACCAATCTTCTAACAATTCTTGTCCACTTTTAGGGTATGGTAAATAGTAATGTTTAGGTGGTGGTCCTTCCTCCAAACGTACAAAATAATGGCAATATTTATAATGAATAGTTCCCTTGCGACCTCTAGCATGACGTCGTAAACCTTTTATTACTATACCTTTAGTACTGAATGATTCTGCTGTAAAAGTATTAGTTTCTTTATTATCAAATTATTAAAAGACTTAACATGTGTATAGGTATATAACAAAACTCAATTAATGTAATCGATCATTGATTAATAATATTTTTGTATGTACTTACCAACCCACAAATTACTTTTAAACTCGACATTATGATTTTCTACAGCTAAACGTTGAGCTTCTAATATAACTTCTTTAGCAATTTCAGCACCTTTCATATGCAGAAAGCTCAACTGTTTTACAGCCTCGTCCACAGACATTCCTCGTACAAAACCAGCAACGTACCACATTTTTTTTGGGCTATATTTTATATTGGCTTTCATATGGCATACATACTGAAAAAACAAATATATGATAAGAATGATAAACAATTACTTCACATTATGTATAATAGAATAGACTTACAGCAGGCCTTCTTTCTTCATCTGGTTTTTGAGGTGAAAAAATAGTCTTGTTATAATCAAGAAAATGTGTCGGGCTCTGATAATTAGACAATTTAGCCCTGCATATCGAAGAAAGATGGAAACTGCATGTTGGTAGATTTAATATCTTTACTGTGGTTGGTGATATATCCACTCTACTTATAGCAAATCTACCATAAAATGCTAAATGTTTCACACACTGACGAATACTCTGCATTTTCTATAAATGTATACCTGTATATAAGTTGTATATAACAATAAAAATCGACCTTTAAGTATTATAAAGTTAAATAGAGGACAGATTTAAATAAGAGCCAAGTGCCAAAAATAAAAATAATATTTCTTAAAAAATTAATCATTAAAATTTATAAATTCAAATAAATATCAAATAAATTTAAAAATAAATGGATATTTATTTGTAAATTTGTATATATATATATATAAATGGTAACAAAATGTGGAGTATAACTGCATGACAAAAAAATTATAATGTTTAATCACGAAAATATAACAAACTCCAACTGAGATTTTTTGATGAAAGACAAATTTATACAAGGAAAGTTATAGATAACTTTCGTAAAGTAAAAATAACGTTCTCTCAAAGACTATAACCTAATAATCAATTATATTATTTTTATTATACGCACGCACATATACTATACAGATAAAAATATTCTTACAAAGAAAATTTTCAATTTGTTCAATTTGAATATATCAGTCGGATATCAATTGTCTTTATTTCATAAAAATAAATTAATTTTTGACTATTCACATATAGAAACAAAAATATGCGCATTTGACTTCGATTCGCGATACACTGATACACCTTGTGTATGTGTAGACGCATGCGCTCCCTCTTTCGTTCTTCTACCAACAGCCAACAGCATTCAGTTTACATACTTGCTTCTACAAAATAAATGTTGAAAAAAGGTTTTTCCTTAATATTTACATATTACATGAAACAAAGTGATATTTAAAATGACAGAAAAATAAAACGAATTTTTTGATAAAGTTTATAAAAATTTTAATTACATTTTTTATATAATAATAAAACAGTGTATCATAAAATATGAAATACAAGTATTTATATTTTATATATAAACAATTTAAAATAGTTATGTAATATAATTAGTTACATGAAATAAACTATTTATATATGTAAACAACTTATAATATTTACAATTTCCCAGTAAGTTCGGGTACAGCTTTAAATAAATCTGCGACTAATCCGTAATCTGCTACTTGAAAGATAGGAGCTTCTGGATCCTTGTTGATTGCTACAATTGTCTTAGAATCCTTCATGCCGGCAAGATGTTGAATTGCACCCGAAATTCCAACTGCTATATATAGATTCTGAAACCATAATGAGACTTTCTACATGCTTTCAAAAAGATATGCAAAAAGATTGAGATAAACTTATTCTAAAATGGGATTCCACAAAATTATTAATTTTATTTACCGGTGCAACGATTTTCCCTGTTTGTCCTACTTGCAGATCATTCGGCACGAATCCTGCATCAACCGCAGCACGAGAGGCTCCTACCGCTGCATTGAACTTATCTGCCAATGTGTATAATAATTTGAAATTTTCACCAGATTTCATTCCACGTCCACCAGAAATTACAACTTTGGCAGATGTCAGCTCTGGTCTGTCAGATTTACTAAGCTCTTGTTTAATGTATTGCACTTGATTAGAAATATAATCGCTAGTAGGAAGATTTTCGCATTTAGCATCACCACCTTCCAAAGGTAGCGGTTCGAAAGAGGTGCTTCTTACAGATACCACTTTCACATTGTCTTTAGATTTAAGAGCCTGAATAGCATTACCAGCATATATAGTGCGTACAAAAGTATCTGATGTTTTTATGTCGATAATATCACTTATTGGAGATACATCTAACTTGGCTGCAACCTAAAATTAAATATGTTTATACAAATTAATAAAATAAATCAATACAAAATAAAATATAAATATATTTAGTTGATACACTCTTGGAAATATGTGTTGCGCACTAACCCTGGGAAGCAACGCTTTACCAAACGCGCTCGCACCAGCTAATATATGTGTGAATTTGTGTTCATTATACAGTTTAAGTATAAGCGGCGTCAATGATTCTGCAGTAAATCCTTTAAATGCATCACTGTCTGCAAGAAGGATCTTGGATACACCTTTGGCCTTACATGCGTTCTGTGCAACTGTGTCGCATTTTGTGCCAGCAATCAGTACAGTTACATCGCCACCGATTTTCTTTGCAGCTGTCAATGTGTTACAGGTGATTGGTAGTAAATTTTCGTTATTATGTTCTGCAATAACCAAGGTAGACTCATAACGTATCAATGAGCCAAACTGTAAATAAATGGCATATATGTTTAAAATATTTAAATTTCTATCACACATATTTCATATATCAAAAATAAATAAAATTGAAAAGATTATCATTTAAAAAGTTTAATCAACAAGCATCTTTAAAATTGGAAAGTAATTGCAAAGTTCACAATACGTTTACAATATAGTTCACTATTGAGCTAATATTAAACAAACATAAATAGCAAAATGTTTTATATTTCTTGCTAAAATTTAATACAATAAAATGTAATAAGTATCAGAATTAGAATGAATCTTTAAGATCATAATCATCAGAAAATACAAGAGATACGAATTTGAATTAAAATAAATGAAATAAATGAATAACGAGACACGCTAAAAAAAAACATGCTCACTTTGTTAGCAGCCCGTAATGTTCTGGTACAAGCGGAAAACATTATTATGGAAATTTGATTTCTCTTCTTGCCTTTAATGTATATTAAACTGTAGAAAAATAATGCTTTATGATCTCGGTGACGATAAGGTTCAAAGTCCTAGCAGCTGTAGCAGAGATATCATTAAGTGGGGGTTTTTACGTAGGCATGCATGATAAATCCGAGGCAAATTACAGAACATATATTACGTGTATTAAAAATATATAATTTAGACAAATATATATTTGAAAAAGCTGTATTTATTATGATATTTATTTGTGTGCAGCATTTATATATACATATCATAAGATCTGTTTTCCTCCTTCGTTATTCAATCCGCCTCCGTCGGTATATAACATTCAAATTCTATATCCATATTGGACATTATATATGTATATATATATTCGAATTTTTATTGGTTAAGATTCTTTTCAAACAAAAATGGCTAAAAAGATTTTTTTATTTAACTTTTATATATACTAGATAAAAAATCCCATATGATTTTTCCTTATATTATCTTCTTATTCTATTATTATATTGTGATTAAATAAATACGATTCATTTTTAACATAATTTTATTGACTTTATTAATAGTTTTTATTAATAAAATTTAATTTATATCATTAGACATTACAAATATTTCAATTTATCTTCGTTTTCTACCACCAACTTTTTTGTGTAAGTCCCGTTTGCCTTTTCCTGCTTTTGGTTTTTTAGTTCCTTTGCTTCGTTTGAGTGAATCTTTCTTCTTTTTGTTCTTACTTGCAGTTTGTTTTATCCTATAATATAAACAAAATTAATCCATATAAATATTAATACATATATATGAATATATATTGTCATGTCCCGCGATTTCCTGCCATTTTCAAATATATGTCCTAAAAATGTACTATATAATAAATATGTACTAAATATGTACTAAAAATAGGAAAAAATAGAATTCTATTATTTTAAATGAGCAATTTTTTAACCTTCTTGTCTTCAATAAATCGATTATTAAAGTCTGTATTAAAGCGCAAAGAGTAGAAAGACTTATGTTATTTTACTATGTGTGTGTGTGTGTGTGTGTGTGTATTATGTTGAAATTAAATCTGTACAAATAAAAACTTATGCTGAATAATTTTCATGGAGAACTTTTGTTTTCTTTTCTAATATGCTATCCACTAAGTTTTTATTTTGAAATTTTTCCTCAACAATATTTAATGGAGGTGCTTTTCTCTTCCTTTTCATTCCAGATACTTCTTTGGCAATTCCTTTTGCGTCCTTCTCTTTTGGTAGCCTACAGCAATATTATATTGTTTTGAGAAAAGAATTAGAGAAAATAAGTTATAAGATATAAAGAGCGTACTTAGTCTGGAATTTCCCAACAGATGCGGTAGATGTACGTGCTATAGTTAGAGCTTCAGAAAGCTGTTGAGAATTTTGAAAGTGGTCTCTAGTGGGTAGACCAACTCTTGGCAGTTTTATATTTTTTGATTTGGCTATATTGCGAAGCCTTTGAAATTCATTTTTGGACTGTCTTTCTTTTTTAGCTATTTTAGCTACAGAAAATGGATCATTGGTTGGATCATCATCATTTTTGGCTTCTATCAACCATTTCTTCTGTTTCAGAGCATCTGCTCGTTTATAACCATATCTAGGTATCCATTCCTCAAAAAAAAGTTCACGAAAAATCAGATAAATTGAAAGCTATATATTATATTTAGACTTCAAAATTATTATAATTATATGAAGATATCTTAGAAGGCAATTTCTAATGACTCATCCTATATATATAATTAAATTACTAACTGTAATAGAGTAGTTTTAAATCATAATAAATCTCTTACTTTTAATTCTTCGTCCCATTTCAGTTTGGTTTTACCCTTATTCTTGACCTGTATTCCCTTCTGTTTGGCGAATTGTTGCCACTTTGTCAAAGGTTTGGGTTTTGGAATAACACGTGAGCGTGGCAATATATATTCAGGTTTGGGCAATGTAGCCATTATAACATCATTTGTCCGTTCTACCGGCAGCTCCCAGATTTTATTAATCAGTAACTGCACATTGTCTCTTGTCAAACTTTTTAAGTATGAATCTGATTTCGATCTGCAAAATATAAGCATAGATTTAACAATAACGATATTATAAGTTATTATAAATTATAAATTGATTAAATTATTAATTAT